AAGGTATTTATTTCAGAGAAAAATGCAATAAGCTTCAGGTACCTTACCTGTATATTATGAAACTATAGAGTATAATTTAGATCGTGATTTTATCATAAATAATTATGATAAAATCACGATCTAAATTATACTCTATAGTGGTTACATAAGTAACCACTTTAAAAATTGCGGACATGATGGTATAGTTTTCAAAAATATGAATACATAATGTAGTTATAGCGCAAGTTGTAAACTTTTTGTGTGTATTTTGCTACTTCGGGTGACAACACTGTCAATTTTATTAGGTTTAGTCTACCCTCACATTTTTTTATTCATAATGTGTGATCGGTACGTACGCCACGTCCAATTGTCTTTATGGTGCAGTGCAAGTGAGATAAATCTTTATAGTTCGTGATAAATTATTGTAACTGCCGACACAATTGATTTCTAAATCTACGAACAAAATTCAACTACTTGGTCTACATGTCGATAAAATAGATTATGTTAGAAAAGGAAATCCTTTTTGAGAAGTCGTGTTTCCGTTGCAGAGTATAATACTCTGTTGGTAGCAATACGGTTCAATATTACATCAACAAATATTTCAATTCCCGCTTCATCCATCCACGTCAATCCAGACCATTTCCACTGAAGATGTACACACGCCAGCACATCAAGCTACACATTGGCGTATCTTGTTCCGTCGAATAAAGATGTGTAGTCTGATGTGCCGTTGTTCGTACTAGGAGAGAACTGAAATTTTGCCAAACAAATTTCAATCCCCGTCTCGCCTCCTCTTGTCTCTCCGGTGGAAAAGCACCTTTAGGCGGCAAACTGTAAGTGGGATTTATTATCATTTTTTAGTGGAACCGAGTCTGGCCACAAAAAATGCCGCGGCGCGGATAGAATCAAAGATTTTTTTTTATACCAAATTATCAGGCACCTCTCGGGACAGTTTTAGATATTGTTTAAAATAAATTGATTTTTACAGATTTGCATCAAAGTGACATTCCCGTTGAATCGCGTCTGTCACAACCAAAGAACTGAGAAGTACTATGAGCGCAGTCTAACCTTCATGATGTTTGGTTTCACATTCCTTTCCAATTTAGGATTTGTCATATATTTCCAATATATTAAGGTGATGTAAAATCAGTGAAAATCCATCTCGCCTATTTAGATCACTAACGACGTAGTTAACTTCTTGACAGCTAATCTTGGGCAATTTTCCAATGATCTTTGGATAGATTATTCCCTGTTCTTCGATCGGAACTCTGACCGATAGAAGCGGTAATATTTTTTCCATGCCTTTGATTCAGCATCGTATTACATACAGTCTAATGGAAAATAAATAGAATAAAATGAATGCAAAATACTAAGGTTTTATATAAATACGAAATGTATTGTGAGATACCAGCGTTCATAGATAAAATCACAGTACATTAAAAACAAGCTTATAAAAGGTACAATGGTAATGATAAAGGAAAAGCCTAGTCTAGTTTTGCGGGTATGATCTGAAGTGTTATATTGTGTGGAGGCGTAGAGTTGAGTCTACTGTGTCAGCAAAAAGGGCCTGACTCAGCATTATGCCGCAGTTCAGGCGAACTATGACGCTGATCATTCTGCCAATTCCCGTCTTTAATAAAACCATTTTCTCTGGTGTTTGGTATAAATTTGTAAATATTTACATTATAATACAATTTCAACTGGGGACTAATCAGTAATTTTGTATCATTATTGTCATTGACTTACAATTATATGGACGACGGGTCCGCGCTAAAAAGTGTCCGAACTTATAGGGCGTTAAAATGGTATACAGAGCGTCATTCACGTTTTAGTCTTCGTTTGTTCGACTGACAGCGAAGTAAGCAAAATTAGACAGTACTGCGATGACATTACAATTTAAATTCAACGTTTTAGCTTTTTCATATTCCTTTACATGTCACTACGTTTAAATAGGTTGACTTGGGACATTTTTTTCGTGGTTTTTGTACTAGACCCGTGGTCCATTTATTTGTAAGTCAATGATTATTATATGGAAACTTTAATAGATTACGCAAAAATATTCAAAATTTTTTTACATAGTGAACTTGATCAATTGGAGGCATGGTAAATTTTAAGCATACAGTTCAATTGCACAGGTACGCAACATGCTTTTAGCATCGGCGACTGGCATATTTTTAGCTTCAACAGTTTAGTAGCTTTTCGAAAACACGATGGTTTGTTGCCCTCGATTTTTATTGATCGTTTGTTCCACTCCACGCCATTTCAATTACTAAACACAACTCGCAACATCTGGTGCCTTCGAATAAGGGCCAGCGCAAACCGACGGACGGAGGCGGAGACCATCGAAGAGGATCTCCTGCTCGCCAGCGCACTTTGTTGAGGAATATCCCTTACGATACCATGAGCGTCCACCAACACACTGCAAAGTTCGCCGGAATTCTACCGGTGCTTATTGAATTAATTGTTACAGCATCATTTGTTTATCTATTCATTTGTAACTTAACAGACAAAAGTCCAAATCGTTACAAATACAGAAACAATGAAAATAAAACAAATAAAATAAAATAAACATAATATATTTCACAGAAATGAACTTACAGGCATCGTTTGTTCAAATACTTTCCTACATTCACTCATCAGACATCCAGTCGTGCTATCAAATAGGTCAGTATGTGGTGCCGCCTCGAGAATAGAGTTGAGGATGGCACGCAACACCGGTGTGTTCCGGCGTGTCTTTGTGCGCGCCGCGTCTCTCGCCAACAGCACATGGCGTCGCGCGCGCCTATTCTCATCCGGCACAAATAGCCTTAACAAACGCTGTAGTAAACAAAAAAAGTCAATTTTACTGTGAATAATATTTACAAAAAAGTTTGGCTATTAACTGGCTATTATAGAGCCACCATAGAGCCTTTTATATAAACTATTTCTGCACCTGCTCCAACATGAGTTTATATTTCTTCTCACAAGGAATCCAAACCACCGAGCTTGTCTCCAATATACTTCGTACTAATGATACGTAAATTATATACATTGACCATTCCCCGTTTCTTTCTACATAAATTTTGATTATAGCCACCCTCCCTACCGACCCTTAGGGTATACGAGACATTGACTTATTTAAATGTTCTCTGCATTCCCGTTCGCCGTTTGAGCTGGCTCTACCTTTTGAATGGGGAATCGGCTTAAGCTGGTCATCCACTCAGACCGCCGATACAACCCGTTTCGATGTAATTTCGAAGTATATTCACAAAGCTTGCTTGGTTAGATAATAAGTATCTATTTGTAAATATAAATCGTATTCTCTAGACTATCGCATTGGGTACATAAACTGTAACGGTAGTTTAGGTATCGCTTAAATAAATAAAATATGGTGACTCCATGAATCGAGCAATTATTGAAAATCGCATTCATCTTATATCAGGATTAAAGCCACAGGCCTAAGGCTTTGTAAGCCAATTTGTGAGGTATATGCTGCATCGCATGGACTATTCGTTATTTACAACGTCAAAAAGACTGAGCATGTGGTCTTTGGCGTTGCCGGCAATAAGAGTCCCGAAAATGTGTTTCCTAGAATTCTCAATGGAATTCCCGAGAGTATCACAGTTTAAATGTTTAGGACATTGTATTGCCGACGACATCAAGGACTATATGGACATGGAACGCGAGCGCAGGGCACTGGTTGAGGGCGACCAAGCTGGCTCGCAGGTTTGTTCGATGTACGGCAGAGATGAAGGTCACTCTTTTCTTGTGGGCCAGCTATACCCAAAGCTCGCTCACGCTAGCCCTGCGTACGCAATATAATAATTACGCCTTCAGGACGCTGCTGTGTCTGCCACGGTTCGGCAGTACGTCTGCCATGTTCGCTGAAGCTCGCGTCGACAGCTTCATGGCTTCTTACGGAAGAAGTAGGCGTTTTTATTAAAACAGAATACGTGGCAGCTGCAGCGGCCTCCTGAAGATTATCGCGGATAGGAGTGAGTACTCCGTGATGCGGCATTTAATAACAACCACAAAATCCGTAGTAAAATTTAAGTACTAACCTAATTATAAGTTTATTGTTACTATCACTTCATGGAGTTGGTCCGTAATGAAGATTTATTATTATTAAAAGCTTGTTCATACATAAGCGTTACCCTACCGCTGTGGGTAGCGAAAAATACTGCGCGCCATCCCGCCGGATAATTTGTATGAAGTTCCGCTAGACGAAACCGGAATTCCGCGCTTCTTCGCTTCGTCTTTTCGCTTGCTTACTATTCATCAACCCACAGCGAAAACGGTATCCGTTTATATTTGAACAGTGGGAATACCGCGTACCCACTCGGATTTCGCTACCCACAGCGGCAGCGAATAACGCCTATATCTGGACAGGCCTTTAATGCTGAAAAGGTTCCTAACGCAAAGTTTCAACAAGCGCGGTTTAAGGTCTGTCCGTACATATCCGGGCCATGTCCGGGACGTGAACGGGCCGTGCTCCGTCAGGGGTTCAAAAAATATTGTAGCGTATATTTTGTAAGAACTCACTCACACATGTCCATGTCCGGGCCGACGCCGGGACGGGCCCGCAGTTCATACAAACTAGCCCGCCCCGTCCACGTCCCGGGCACGGCCCTGATGTATGTGAATAGTCCAGTCCATTAGGAGCAAAATACATATGTACTCGATGGCAAAATAAGATAATAATGTTTTGAATTTGTTTCGATTTCGAAATGACAAATTTCAACATATGGGCACCGTAATTTTTCAACCTTAGTAAGTTCTGTACTGGTTTGGGTTTCTCTATCTGATGATCCAAATTACAGAATAGAATACCAGCTTGATGTTAGCTTTCCGTATAGGTAAGTATTATTGCGATATCCGATGACGTAGGTAACAATGGCGCATTTACACCGAGCTGTCGTCTGCAGACCACTTCGCCTTAGCAAAGGCGACGCAGTCAACTCCCCGTTTACCGAGTTAGCTGAATCAACTAACAAGCAACTGATCGTTAAACGTTGTCGTTTTAGGGTATCATGTACAGCTTCCCCTCTGATGAGACTCGATGGTATATGCCTTTGGGATTGGGATACACTAACTGCGGAATGTTAACTTGCATTGATGAAACTCTGCTGGTATTTGTAATAACTCAAACTGCTAAGAAATGTTACGTGGAGTTTGACCAAATGTTCCAGTAAGAATTCCGGTTTAAAATATTATTACTTATTAAGATTTTTTGTGAAATAACGCCACTAGTTTTGTTGTTATTATGAATACAAAGATCGAAGACAGAGATTTTTTTGTCGACCCGGTGCGACTTAGTACAAGTTAGTACAAGATCTATAACAAAATAACGTAGGAGAATTTGGACGACTCTTTAACCGCTCACGCGATGCGCTCCTCCTACCGCAAAATGGCGGCTATTTGGTTTCGCAAATTAGAAAAGCATTCGGTTTAAATACATGTTTTTATAAATAAAAATTATTATTCTGCATTGCTAAATAAATACCCTCCGTACTACCAATAAAAACATCTCAAATAAAATGCAGTAATACACCGCAAATCCTGCACTTAAAAAGCACTAATGAAATTTTTGGTGTACTTGGATAAATATGATGATATTCCGTTTGAGTGGTTCTAACGTTTACCATGAAATTACTCCTTAAAGTATAGTTTATAAACATTTACATTCAGGGTAAACTTAAAAAACGCAATTTACGGTATGTTTTCAATAAATAAACACCGAAATCACTAGCCCAAACAATAACACACACGATTGTCGTGACGTATTTTTGAAGTTGTTTATTTTTTTAATGACAGACCCAGGCATTAAAAACTTTATGGTTTGCTAGAGTAGTTACCGAAATAGCAATTAATATTAGTTCTTTTGCCTGTTATAACTTCGATATCCGATAAATCGGTATAAAATCATCACCGGCACCTCTAGGTGTGGAATGCGTCTACGGCTGCATGTATCGCGTGAGCGGGTAACTGGACCCGTTGTTCAGATGGTTAGAGCGATGCTACGGTGCGGCATGGACGTGGGTTCGTGTCCCACCGGGTCAACGAAGCTTTTCTGTGTGTTCGATCTTTGTGCTCATAATCATAACAATATTATTACTATTAGAGTGGTTGTTTGTAGTCACTTGTTTTTTTAAAGAATTTTTATTTTGTACCTCAGCTAACAACGTTAAGAAAAATATATTCCCTGCTCTCTGTGTTTCTCTATAATATGACTGTTTCTTCACAGCTACCGTCCAAACGACCTGTCTGCTGGCAAATGGACAAATCAAAACGTGCCTTGCTGGGAGAAAGAGATGGATCTTTTGCCTGTCAACGAGGCGGATGTCATGAAGAAATTCAATTATATCGGTAAGTGAAGCGAGAGCGATGGTATTTGGCATATTTGGTTATTTGGCACGGTTTCTGCAGGGTTTCTGAATGTTAAAAAGAATAGTATTTTTTTCGAAAAAGCGGTTTTATAATTATATTCTGGGTGATGTTCAATTTGGCATATACAAAGTTTAAAACGAACTTTGCCCTAAAGGTTATTTATGCAGCTTCTGCGTACCTACTTGGATGACAAAATGCCGTGGTCGTGACCCGTTTAGCTCTTGCAGGTATTCTCGATCAAAGATGTTTGAAATAATTATTGTAATTATAAATGTATTCAAATGTATATTTACAAAGAACAACTCCTAAAGTTTCTTGCTCATTCTTCTCAGGGAAATCTGCCTTACGAATGAACAGCTCCCAGGCCTTTTCCACAAAGTTTCGATTATAGTGACCCTCCCTATCAAGCTCTTGGTTAGGCTAGAAGGGCACTATAAGCTGTGCGCGTATAGGAACCTAATAAGTTTAGGTTCTGACCCCCGGGCCCCGATTCAAAACTCTTCGATATTTTAACCGAATCGTTAGATTGGACATCTTTCTCGAATCGAAGGGCGCTTTCCGAGCTGTTCAGAACATTCGAGTTAAAAGATTCGGATTCGGATACGATATGGTTATCTAACAGCGTTTACGGAATTAGTCGGTGAAATAGATTATAAGAAAAATGAAAATTCTTTTATATACATTTTAAAGACTTGAAAGGCCTAAAATATAGGAATGCGTTAGTCTTGCAATCTTAATTTAAAATAATAAAAGATTTCCATAGTACATTTTTGCTTTGTAAAGAATAGGACGTTCGACAATTTTCATTCGATAACTGCCGGTCGAGAAGTTCGAGTAATCGTACGGGTGTGACGTCGTTTCGGTTCGGTTTCGAACGAAAAACGACAGTTTGACGTTCGATTTGGGTGTTGTGAATAAAAATGAAAAGAAATCGGTCGGCCCCCTGATCAGCCAATGTACAGGGTTGTAACAGACCGTTGTCACGGACTTATAACTTAAAGGGCAAGTCACGTGTCCCGCGCGTCACCTCGCGCTAGCTGCGCACGAGACAGACGCCCCGGCCACAGCGGGATAGACAAGCAAGTCCATACCCAAGTCGCAAAAGACGCCCACGAATGAACAGTATAGTTTAATTAGCAACGACGATTTCTTGTGTAATTCTGCTTGCCTATGAAATAAAAATTATTTGACTTTGAAACCCCGCCTATTAGGCGCTCCTATTACTAGCGCTACATGTCGCTCGGAGCGCAGGGTTGTCATATAATTATTTAGTGTGTACCTACAGGTTGTAAACAAAATCATGAACTATGATCGTCAAACGACTCAAGTTTACGCTTGGTATGTTGCCGCACGCGAAGGCGACCTGTCGACCTAGTGTAAACGCGCCATGGTGCTGATTACACCTAGTCGCCCCGGTTGACTTCGGCAGCGAACTACGCTCGTTAATCGGCTCAATGTTTACACTGGGTAAGGAAGCGAAAGCGACCTATCGACCGCGTCAACAAGAAACCAATAAATTAGCGATAATAATTTAGTGAATAACCACGAAATCTTTGATACTAATACGTCGTTTTTCTTACAGTTTTCCAATTTGTGCTTGTAACATTTTATTTCTGGATGTTCCCTTTTACCGCGCTACTGGCGTTTGCTGTAAATATATATGAAATAAGGTATGTTCTACCCAGATATGCTTCAACTTGCACAATGTTTCATGCGTACTAACTGCCGCACAAACTAGCTACGTACTAAAATACCGGCACGCTATGATGGCCGATTTGACAGATTGCACTAGTGAGGTGAAATCTCAATTCATTATCGTAAAAAATATAATCGTTTTTAGATTATAACTAGTATTGCAAGGGGTAGCTGATTAAAAAGCTTTAATAAAACAAAAATAAAAACGTGGCCAGCGATCCTATAAGTGACGATCGGAATAAATTTAATTTTTGAAAATTTCGAATTTCGAAAAACAAATGCCGAGTTGTGTCGTAAAATTATACTTACAAATTTTACGGCATATCACTATTGACAACCACGTACAGCAATTAGCTCCTTCAATGTAGTTATGAATTAATATGATACTTGATGAGCGGACAAACGTCAAAACGGCCATATAGCGTGCCGATACTTTACTACCGGCACTACATGTCTACGAAGTACGTGTGACATCATTGGTAGGAAAACTGATTGAGCCGATACAACCTCAAATGGCTTTGGTTGATTTCGCACAACAGTGAAAATGTTGAATCAATCATTTTGGTAAAAATATATAGCAAAATCAAGGATGTGCACTGATGACTATACGGTGTGAAAACACGGTCCCTAAAAATTTTTACGATAGAAAAAACACATACCTCGAAATTTTACAAGAAAAAACCACTGTATTCGATAGGTAAATATACCAATGATTATTTTTATATCAACTGAACTAAATAGAGCACGTGTAGCATACGATATATAATTTAATTTCTAAAAAAATAATTCTGAAATAAAGCCAGTGTCCCTACCGCTCTACTCAAACAAAATAAACCATATAGATACGAGAAATGTTAATTGGAGCTGAAGTAGTAACGGGTCTTAAAACACACTATCTTACTGGACTGTCTAATAATATACACATAAATAAATATTTTTCTAACGCACATATTTATAGCTCCGCACTACGGCAACCTTGTATCGCGGGTGCCGTGGACACACATAGACAACCATATATTACACCCAAACACACGAGAGAAATAAATGTAGGCAATGCAAATATTTATCCCGGCCCGGGAATCCAATCCGGGAGCACTGCATGGCAGTCCAGCATGGTAACCTGTTGGTAAGCTGTTCAACCTCATCCCCCCTTCCCCGTTCCTGCTCAGAAGCACGCGTGCTGGCCTTCGTAGTCACCGTTTCACTACCTGCCGAATTCCATCGCGTACTAAAAGGTTTGGTGGCTCCTTTCTCTGCCGCACGATTGACAAATGGAACTCCCTTCCGGCACATGTCTTCCTCCCTCTTATGATATGGGGTCCTTCAAACGAGGCGTGAAGAGGCATATTGTAGGCAGGCAGGGTGGAGGTGGCTAGTGCAGTGAGGATTTCATCGCTGCACTAGGTTCCTTCGCGTTTGGATACCACTTTCCACTTAACATCAGGTGGAGTGGAGTCATTTGCCTGTCATGTATAAAAAAAAACCGTTCGGCCACGGGGGGAAAGGTACAATAAAATAAAATAAAAATACAGGGAAGTAATGAAGGGATAGAAGAAATAAAAAACTTAGCAGTTGAGGAAGTGATCCTTGACACGTTGTTTGAAGAAATTAAGAAAATGGTATCGTCGAGTAGATTCAGGGAGGGAATTCTAGTCTGACAGCAGACGTTCTGATTTTTAGTACGAGGGTAGGTATCAGAAAACCAAAGGGGACGGTAGAGTATAACGGTAAGGAGACATAAAGGTATACAATAGAATTGAGTAAAGAAGAAAAATTGAAGCTGTGTGTGAAATTGGGAGACATGGTAAAATCTGAACTTTATCTTGTACACATTTTGGAGCCGTTCCAATTTGTCGAACAGAGTGACTGACAAATCCGGGTAGCAAACATCTGCATTGTCCAATATCGGATGATGAATGCTCTGGGCTACTCTGGGCTAGCGTTTTTGTATTTATCGGCAAATAGTTTAAGGTTTCTCAATGAGAAATGTACACAATCACCTTCCTTCTAACCTCAGCAACGTGTGGTTTTCAATAATTCAGACACCGATCAAAAATGACCCCCAAATTCCTGACTGTCGAAATAAGGAATTCGGACACTATCAAAAGGGTAAGGAGTCTAGATCAACACAATATGCCAACCAAATGTTCCAGCGATTTTAGCAATTCCAAACTTTTGTGGGATTTTCGATGGTAATATCCTCGCTGAGCTACCTAATCATCGTATTGCAGCTTGTAATATTATCCACAATTTTCAACCAGTGTCACTTATCCGTATTTATTTTTCTCCCGCCTATATAAAGTAATCCATCAATCAGTAATGTAAGCATTACTGCGTTGTGGTTTTGAAGGGTATGGGTCGCGTGAAACAGACAGACGTGATGCCAGCCACCAGACGCACGACTTGCTTGTCCTGTCACGAGATCATAAAAATAACCCAATATTGACGCTGAAGGACGCTAGAACTACCCTAAATTAGTCCTTGTGATCTAAGTAACGCCTTAATTTCGTTGTTCGTATATTCACTGTAGAGTGAAATGCTTAGTCTTAAACTAGATAAATGATGTCGTTGTTTGTCAATTTGTAATTTGTGATTTTACCTTTACAGATATTGGAGCAAGTTATTCATCTTACACTCGCGACGCCCGTTGCCAATTAAAACGTGGGGCCTTGGCTCGTGGGGTACGTTGATGGTGATACTACCCTACATGGGCGCCCTTTTTCAGATCACTTCGTTGGTCCGTTTGAGTAATGTAATAGCGAGATCTATGCACAATCGCTACTTCTCTGGAACGCGATACTTTATGGATTTTGCTATGGGGATGTATAATACATCGGTGAGTATTTTTTAAAGAACGTTTATTTGGATCTACTGGCATGTAATTGACCTACTAATAAAAACTGTTATCTCCGTGAAATACCTGATACTTTTAAGAAATTTTAGTGTGTAAACATCGTCTACAAACTTACTCTGTACGACTGCTAAACCTATGTTTAACTTTTCATTTTTGGTGATAAATATCTAATACTTCGTGACATATTCCTATATAATCAGTGTGTGTTGTGCAAGTAATCGAAACAACAGGATTATAAGTGTTTTTCACAAGGAGAGTTCTTACCGACCGTTAAAAAGTGTTCTGATCATTACCCACTTCTTTGCAACTTGTTTATTAACTGCTGACTACGAAATCTATATCGCTATTTCGCCGTGTCAAGTTGTATGCGCACTGGTCGAGCGGTATAGTAGTCGGACTTTGTGCCACCGCTCATGGTTCGCATCTCAGCCATCGAAGGAGAGTATTTGTTTTATTATTTACCCGCTCACGCGATACATGCAGCCGTAGACGCATACCACACCTAGAGGTGCCGGTGATGATTTTATACCGATTTATCGGATATCGAAGTTATAACAGGTAAAAGAACTAATATTAATTGCTACTTCGGTAACTACTCTATGCCTGGGTCTGTCGTTTAAAAAAAATAAACAACTTCAAAAATACGTCACGACAATCGTGTGTGTTATTGTTTGGGCTGGTGATTTCGGTATTTATTTATTGAAAACATACCGTAAGTAGCGTTTTTTAAGTTTACCCTGAACATAAATGTTTATAAACTATAATTTAAGGAGTAATTTCATGGTAAACGTTAGAACCACTCAAACGGAATATTATCATATTTATCCAAGTGCACCAAAAAGTTCATTAGTGCTTTTTAAGTGCAGGATTTGCGGTGTATTACTGCATTTCATTTGAGATGTTTTTGTTGGTAGTACGGAGGGTATTTATTTAGCAAAGCAGAATAATAATTTTTATTTATAAAAACTTGTATTTAAACTGAATGCTTTTCTAATTTGCGAAACCAAATAGCCGCCATTTTGCGGTAGGAAGAGCGCACCGCGTGAGCGGTTAAAAAAATAAAGGCGGCCAAGTTAAATCTGCACAGGCAAAAGATGAAATTGGTCGAACAGGTAAAAGATCTGGAGCTGGATCTTCAATCAAGAACTGAAGACCTACTTACTACTCAAAAACAACTGGAGGAACTTTGCGCTGCAACCAATGACCTTTTGAAGCTGGGAACTGAGTATAGAGAACTTACTCAAGTTCTTCTACAGGATGAGCTTAAAGACACAGACGAACTAGTTGAGGTAAAGCAGACTCCATCCCCATTGCTTACATCGTCAACGCAACCAGCACGAGCATCGTATGCCGTGTTGCTGCCAGAAAACGAAACTGTTCCAGTGCCCTTGTCATGCAACCAAGACTAGCAGAACTTCCACCAGGCCATTCAGAAGAACGGTTGTTTTTTAAGATAAAATAGGTATAGGGCTAGGCCACCATCTTAGTAACCACTTACAGCAAAGGGTAGTCAACTATTGTTCTCCAGGAGCTACCTTTAGTCGAATTATCACACTATTAAGCGGTCACAACTTCGATAAATCCACAACTGTGATTCTTATGCTAGGTAATAATAATAACATCAGTAAAAAGGAAATAAATAGTAGCATTGACGTGTTCTTGAGAATACATGGGAAGTTTGGGTGTAAATTCCTGCTAAGTGCCATTCCCTTACTGCTCCAATTTGGGCACTACTCATAATTAGTATGTACATAACATATATTCACATTTTTACAATTTGACATGCCGTCATAGTGGCGTTATTGTTTGTTTTGACGTCAATACGTTTGTAAGGAATTTTAAACTTTGTGAGAATAATTTACAGTTATCCCTAAGACATATTGCTAGTTTACGAGCTTTTAATATTAAGGACGCTGTTATAGAAAATACAATGCTCCTACTCTAAGTAGCAATATTTTACTTACTAACCATAATTTAAACTAGTAAACACGACAACAGAAAAGTCTAATCATTTCCATGTAGTACATCAAATCATTCTGTTTTAGTTGTTGCCCAGTCATCAGTGTTCCCCATAGGGAGACTAAATTCAATGACTGGGCAACAGTAGGCATTCATTAGAGTAGGTCTCGTTTGTATGAGCTATACGCTATGAAAACTTATAATACTATTTCCAGTTTCATGGAATATGTTCAAAATATTCAAAAATATTTTTAAAAGTATGTGTAGCTGCTAAGGTTAAGTTTCACAGCGATAAAATTAGACAATCGAATAATGGAACTAAAACTACTTGGAGTATAATAAATAAAGAGTCAGGGTTAAACAACATGATGAGATATACATAGTTCTAGAATTATACGACAATTAGAATAAAATCTAAAGATGAGGTAGCTCAAGCTTTTGAATCGTTCTTTTCGGAAATCGCCGTAAACACTACAGAATCACCATTGCTATTGATCTCCTAAAGAAAAATGTAAATGTTTGTGGTAGTGTATTTAATTTTCATCATGTTAAACCACAAGCCATTATCAAAGTTTTTAAATCTATACATGTTAAAAAAACTGAAGACCTCTGGGGCATATTGACTGAAGTTATAGACTCAGTAATATTTCTCATTTCCCCACATTTAGCTAATGCATTCAATACGTGCGTTGACGAAGATATTTTTCCCGATTTGATGAAATACAGCAAGGTTATTCCTTTATTCAAAAGCGGTAGGAAAGTTGATCCTAGCAACTATAGTCCTATTTCAATTCTACCAGCTATAAGTAAAATATTCGAAAAGGTTATGTTGAGTCAATTACTGTCTTATTTCGGTAGGAATCGCATTTTTCATTGTGAACAATATGGGTTTACTAGTGGTAGATCGACTAGCGATGCGGGGGTAGCGCTACTAAAACTTATCTTTTATCTTTATCTTTATATATTTGATACTTGGGAAATGTCCCAGAACGCTATTGGGGTTTTCTGTGACCTCTCGAAAGCATTTGATTGTGTGGATCATATTACTCTTGTTAGGAAGCAAGAATATTATGGAGTAAATGGCAAAGCGTTGGAACTTGTATCATCACACCTCAACGGTAGAATTCAGAAAGTACACCATAGTGACTTCCTTGGGTTTTCCGGTAAAAATGGGTGTTCCGCAGGGCTCAATACATGGACCGTTCTTATTTTTCATTTATATTAATGATCTACCATTCTTTGTTAAAGACCTTTGCGAAATAGTATTGTTTGCTGATGATACATCCTTGACTTTTAAAACAGACAGACATGACATTAACTATGATAATATTAACGACACCCTTTCAAAGGTAGTTTTTTTGTTTAATGTTAACAATTTATTGCTCAATGCCAAAAAGACAAGTGTTAAATTTGAATTACCTAATGTAAAATCGTCTAGTCCAATCATAGAAATAAATGGAGAAAAAAGCTATCTTTTTTTCCACCACGATTTCGTTTAACTAACGATTCTTTTATGGGGAACCGTATGCGTTTTTACAATAATATTCCGGAGAATATATTAAGATTATCATTTCGTATTTTCGTTCGTCACTATCAATAAAACTGACATAGATAATATATGGGACTGACCAAACAAACATGACCCTATCTACTAACCCGATGGTTAGTGATTTCCGGGGTGACACGGGCTCGCCGGTAAGATCAGAGTACGGTGGGCGTCCGGGACTAGCCCTCGGGAAGTGATATGCCTTCACGCCGTCTCTGGTGGACCCGGACTCGATAGACTCGACGGGGCTTGTGGTAGCTACAGAGATGGACATGTTCGTCTGCCCCGGCGATGTGTGGCCGGGGCGTCCGTCTCTTATTGACTATGACTCATTATGACTTTACTTATTGTTACTATTAATGGAAGTTTCTATATTAACAAATACAGTGTTTCTATTTTCTCAATGTTCCCTCGACAATCATCGGTTTTCCGAAGCACACGAATATTAATTTCCATGCCCATTAATTATTAGATTAAAAATTTATAATAATTTGAATTTTGAACGACTTTATTGTTTTGTTTTGATTTCCGTGTGAACTATATAAAGCTGTAAAAGAATTTCCCTATTTTTAATAACATTTGGTGAGCCCAACTCACACTGCTGGCGCAGAGTCGAAGCGTCGCGTCGCGTCCTGTTTCTCAATTACAACGCCTAGTGACGCGCCACGACGCGTGACGTCACTCGCATTAGTGCGCCCGGATCACAGTATGGTCGGCGTCTGACGCCTAACTTCGCTATTTGCATAACACAAATGTATACCTTGATAATGGGAAAATAGAGATGAATATACTATATATAGGCGAAAAACATGACGCGTCGCGACGCTTCGATTTTGCGCCAGTGTGAGTTGAGCCTTACTCCATGTCGATGAGCAAGTTAACAAAAAAGATTAAATAAAAAGTGTTTCTTTTATAAAACAAAAAAAATGAATATTTTTCTGGTAAATGATTAATAGATCATTTCAATTCAGTACCAAAGGCAAAGGGCAACTGAACAAAAACCCGACGACAGCCGAAATACGAAGTTTAAATTATTATTATTCACAAAAACCGAGGCCTCGTCATACTTTAGACATTTTGATATTGTTTGTGACTACAACGTGTAGGTGCTTTCAGGACTTCTTAAACACAACTACCAGTATTGATAGATATGGCAATTTCGTTTTTGGAAGTCCAGCGTTAGAATGGTATCAGTACTCACTTGCCAGTTTTAATAAACATCTTTATCCGCACTGGCAAAAGGCAGACTTTTGTTTATTTCCAAGTAAGTAATTTTTTATTTTTCGTTTATTTAAGAAAACATACAAGTCTTACAAAATAACATTAAATTATTAACACACCTGATTGTTCCATAAAATAAGTACAAGCTTACAAAAAATTAATTCGTAAAATGGACACCTATCCAAAAAAAAGAAAAGAATTAGTGACACCCACATACATATATGTAGATAGACTCCGCAAGTGTACGTACTTCGCGTGCCCAAAGTAAGTGCAATTCACTTAATTGCCACAGCTACACTTCAGAACGCACTCGACCGTTGTCGTAGACAAACACCAGTCGAAAACGCGAAAAATCATAATTGCGCCATTATAATCTAAAAAAGCACCATAACTGTGGGTAAACGACTAAACAGGGACGTTTCCTTCCACGGGCAAGTGATTTTGTAATCAGAAGATTACTTAATTTATTTTAAAAACAATTATTTGGTTTTGTATGAATTTCGAGAAAACAAATATGCAACCGAGTGTATGCCTCATGATTTGTAATACAATGCGGCTTGGTGCAACATATTTGTGATCCTTTGTTAATACGCCATGAATATCGAACGAACGCACTTTTGTATAATGCATCTAGTTTCGTGGTACGGTCGCTTGTACATTTCTTTAGCCAAATAATTTGGTCCGAAAACATGTTCGGAAACGCAAACAAATTCGTTTCTGGCACTCACCGGCCGTTGCCCCGGCACGCTCGCTACGCTCTCGGCTCGTGCTACTTTTTCATGTCTAACCTAACCTACTGAATGGGAGTCGTATCCAAGTTTGACCTGTGTATAATACATTTGTTTTAACATGAATGTTTGACAACCAACTAAATGATGTGCAGCGTCTTCACCGCACATCAGTGAAACACAGCGTGTGTATTGGGCATTACAACTATTATGAACACAGCGTGTCGCTTACCACCAGGTGCACGAGTTGTTCATCCCGTCACTTAGTATTATAAAAAAACATATTCATTTCAGACATGTATAATAGACGATATCAGTCTCACAAGTTGATGCGCGTATTCGAGAATTCATACATGCCCAACTTGAACTTTTGGCATCACATGTGGCTGAAGTTATTGACCGTCCTGGCTTTTGAGGTGAGAGGAATTCTATAGTCACTCTCCTAACAGATAATCTTTTTTTCAGGGCGACGTATTTTCTGTTTAAGTATAAGTACTATTATTTGATGCACAGTGTACATTCATGGGGACATGTGTGACACACAACTTTTTGCGAAATAAGAGTGGTTTCACACGGAGAGTTTCAGCAGTGATGTAAACGCGATGCGTAAAATCTTATAAGCTTAATGAAGTTTATGCATTGACTTGCAATTATATGGACGTCGGGTCCGCGCTAAAGTGTCCGAACTTATAGAGCGTTAAAATCGTATACAGAGCGTCATTCACGCTTTAGTCTTCGTTT